AGGACTTTCCTGTATCTTTCCTTTCTCACCTTCTCACTTTCTCTGTTATTCTAGGTCCTTCAATAAGCAAATGCCAAGACAGGGTTGAATGCCTGTAGGGGAAAATGGGGAGGCATCTGGGAAAGGCTGGGATAGCTGTCAGACTTTAGTCTGGGTCTGACTCCAAGTGAAGGAGAGAGGAAGGAAGGAAAGTTGGGTGAAAGTCTCTTAGACTGCAGGACAGTCTGAGGAAGGTTTGGCAAGGCCGTCAGGGAGTTCTGAAGCGAAAGTCATCTGTCCGAGAATTCCTGAGTCTCCTAGGAATGAGTCTTCCTTAGTATCCCTGCACACTCAGTCATTGGCTGGGAGCAGCCTGTGGGAAGCAGGGCCCCTGCACAAACACAGTGATGGATTTCAGAATGCAGCAGCCGGGGCCCTTGGTTAGTTAAACTCCCTGTAATTGGAGGTCTGTAGGGTACATTCTTGTGACCACATCTTGCTTTCTCACTCCAGAAAATTTCGACTAGCCAATATATGAAGCAGAGCCTTCCTTCAAGTTAAGCTACTCTATATCTCATTGACTTTTTGAATTACCTCAAAGTAAGGAATTCATAAAGAGAGAGAAGAAAAAGGGAAGGGGAATGGGAGACTGGTGGGGGAGGGAAAGGCACAGAGAGAGATGGGTGAATAAACTCTAGTTCAGAGGCCTCTTAAAAGGCTCAGCATTGGACCGGCCCCATGGCTTAGCGGTTAAGTGCGCGCGCTCCGCTACTGGCGGTCCGGGTTCGGATCCCAGGCGCTCACCGACGCACCGCTTCTCCGGCCATGGTGAGGCCGCATCCCACATACAGCAACTAGAAGGATGTGCAACTATGACATACAACTATCTACTGGGGCTTTGGGGAAAAAAAGGAGGAGGATTGGCAATAGATGTTAGCTCAGAGCCGGTCTTCCTCAGGAAAAAGAGGATTAGCATGGATGTTAGCTCAGGGCTGATCTTCCTCACAAAAAAAAATAAAAAAGGCTCAGCAGTGCCATGAGTGTCCTTGGCAGGCACGAAGGGGACAAGAAGTAAGAGAAAGGAGTTATCCATATACATGTACAGAGTTGGGGTAGGGCAAAATGCCAGACGTTTGCCCCTGGGGCATCAATCTGCTATACCAGGCTTCCGCACCTACATTTTTTCCCCCATTCCTTTGTATTTCTGGAACTAGTGAGGAGGTAAATCTTTGTCTCCCTGGGCGCTTAGCTACCGCTTTGTTACCGCTAGTGCTCCCAGTGGTGCCAGCGAGTTCCTGCCTGAGCCTGGACTTGAGGTTGAAGGAGGCTGAAGACCAGCCTCGCTCAGTCCTGCTGCTCCTGGGCTGTTTGCAGTAGATATGGCTGTGAAGGGCACTCTTGCCCTGAAAGGCGCTCGAGAGGTGCTGACGGCTTTAGAGAAGCGTTCCTCCTCCTTCCGTCTTCTCTTCTCCCCTCCGCCTCCTTTCCACGCCCATCTGGACTTGAAATGTCTTCATTTCCTGACATATCTTGGAGACCACAGCCGATTCAGGACAGAGGTAGCAAAATTGAAATTTTCCTCACGCAGCTACCAAGACTCCAAGCCCTTATTTTCAAGCGTTTAAAAAAAACATCACTTCAGGTATAACTTGGAGCTATGTGTGTTTTCTAAAGACAATTAAACTGGGTTTGGCTGCAGTTACTGTTCAGTAATACATCTCGTATCCTGTGGTTGAAGCCAACTTTGATTAACAGTCCCCTTAGGCTAGATCATTACTGTTTTTTTCTGTTTCCCTTTTCTCATAAAAAAAATATTTTTCCTAAAATTTTGTCCTGAGAATATTTTTATGTAGAAAAGTGAGGAGGGGGTGGTTTGTTTGTGTTGTTTTCTTTTTTTCTCTAGAACGTTTGAAAAATTGAAGAGATAGGAGAAATGATTTCAAAACAAGAGAGAGGAGAAGGATGAAATTGTTCTTGAGTTAAAGCATGCAGAGCCTCCCTGAGTTAAGCTATTCACGATACTGCGTTGACTCTGAATTGTACCTGAGTCCCCGCGCTGTCTAAACATCAGAACTTGGTCTTACTGGGTTATTATCTAGGGGGACACCTTGCTCAAGTAACTGCACTGCTCAGGGTCTTATTTGAAAGATGGTGGGGTAGGAAGGATATTGGATGTGTGGGTAGGAAGAGTGGAAACCCTTTAGTTCTAAAGTTCTTGGATTATCAGGCGTTGAGGAGAGTGGGTTTAAAAGCTCTGACCATATTTGCCTCAGGTTCTTGAATAACTGAAACATTGATGAGTCCCCTCTACCCCCAAACCCTTTGAGTTATCATTATAATTTCCTGATCCCTTCATAGATTTAATAGACTCATCCAAGGATTAGTGTGCAACCTTTAAAGGGAGAGGACTGGATTTTAATGGGATTTTCAGAGAAGGAAAATAAGTAGGTGAAAAGTTGTTTATGGGTGGTTTTGGTCAGGATATTTGATATGGATGCTGGTACCTCTTTTAAAAGTAAAGTATTTTCTGCCTGCCATGGACCTTTCTGTTGTTCATCCTCATTAAATTAACACAAGGTGCCCTGGAAGCCTGGTCTCTCCGTCCTCCTATTTAGGTCTTCCAGAGAAAGAAAATAGTTATTCTGTGTTATTTTGCCTCATTGTTCTTTCCTTTTTATGAATGTATTAGTTTTATTCTTTAGACTTGCCAGAAAGAGTCTTGCCCAGATCACCTTTGATAACAGGGGTTTGTTTCCAGGCTGGGAGGAGACATGAGCTGACACGTGATGCTGCTTCTTCCTCAGCAGTGCAGTCGGTTTGAGTGGAGAGAGATGCAGCTGGTCACAAAAACCGCCTCTCGTTCCTGGGGGCTTGGCCTGGGCTCGGTCTAGGACTTGATATTCTCCAAAGAGAGGATTTGATTGGGTAGAATTGGGTCTTTTCAGCGTGGAGCTCAGTAACTGGGCAGGTCTGTGCCAGCCGCTCTGCGGCACTTGACTTCCCTCGTGTGCAGTCCGGTGCTGATCCTGAACCCAGTTGGTCAAGGCCAGGTTAGCAAGGTTGGTGTCATCAGATGCCCACAGCATAAACCAAATCATCCACACTCAGAAAGAACTCTTTTAGGGGCTTCTTTTCTCAGAAGGGGGCAGTGGATGTGGCAGCTTCTTGGTTTCACGGCCTTTTGCATTGAGTTATTTGCTCCTCTATTAACTTTGAAAATCATAGAAGAGCAGCAAGGATTCTCATGAGCAGACTTTCCTGATAGTGAGAACATGGAAAACTGAGGCTCAGCTGCCTCAGGAGCAGAGCAGCCTCTGCTGTTACCCCTCCAAGTGTTTAAATCACGTGGCGATTTATTAACACCGAGGTGGGCCCTGGCCAGGGACAGGGTTAATGGATCATGATCAGTTGACTGTCTTTAGAGTGTCAGGGCACCCACCCTCCGTGCCAGGCCTGAGACTCCAGAGGAGTGTGCTGTGTGGGAAAGAGATCCTCCTGTTGGGGATTTCAGCTGAACCCTTCTTTGGTGTAGAACAGTGGCTCTCGACCCTAGGGTCACATCAGAATCACCTGAAATGTTTGTTAAAGCTGCAGATGACTGGGCCTCACCTTAGACCGACTATATGAGTGGCTCCCAAGAGGTGGAGCCCTGGCATCTGGAGTTTTAAAAAATGTACAAACCAGACTTGTGCTTTTGGGAAGACGGGATAGATGCATTTATCCCTATTTCTCCTGCTGAAGTACAACTGAAAACCCTGGACATTATCTATAAAACAAACATAAGATTCTGAGAGGTGGAGAGAAGGGGGACTGGCTGGGGACTCAAAGAATTACATAATTGTGAGTTCCCTGGGTGTTCCTTTCACCTCATATAGCTCAGACTTGGAGCTGAAGGAGGGAAGGAGGCAGCAACCCAGATACGGCAGTGGGAACAGATGCAGACACCCCAAAGGAAGCCTGCTCTGTCTAGCTGGAAGACGAGGAAAGGGGAGGCCTAGGAAGGCAGAAAACTTACAGATAATAACCACCCTTTTCCAGCCAAACACACAGGAAAACTGGCCCCCACTCCCACCCAGGCCAGCACAGGCTGAATGGGGAGCCTAGACCTCCCCCCTTGCCAGGCTGTAACAAGGTGCCCCAACCTCCCCACTGAGACGGTGTCAGAAGAAGAGTGCCAGGATGTTCAGCCCTGCCGGCTGGTAATGAGCACCCCACCCCCCCCCCCGTTCTCTCTTTTGTGGAGAGTGGAGTGTGTTCTCCAGTTGTCCTGGACAGCACTATGACAAAGCCCAGTCAAGGTGGAGAGGATTCTCTGTCCCTGCACCTGTGGGTGGTTCCTGAGGGCATGTGGGGGCTGCTGATGCCATTGCTTCCCCAACACATCGGGGTGCTACTCACTTCATCTAGCATCTGGGGTCTCCAGTACTGCCCTTGAATTCTCTCTCTCCCTGCCCTTCATCTCCATTCTTGTCCTCATCCCCAGCTGCTCAGGGCTCTCCTTTGTGTTCACAGTAAGTTAGGTTCACAGCCAGAATGAATATCCTCTTGTGGGTAACTGCAGATGTACTAGTTAACTTGCCAGGCTTGTGTCCAGCCGCCCGCCCTCCTTTAAGGGAGGGAGGATGGGGTCTACATTTCATGTGCATTTGACAGCATCATTCACAGCCTCTTTGCCCCCTTCTCCCTTTTGTTCCTTTTGCTTCTACTCCTCTGGAATACTGTATGATCTGTTTTTTTCTTGGTGATTTCTCCATGAAATTCTGATTTAGAGTCGGCCTGTAGTCTGCTGAGGCTGCCTTGGCTCCTGCCCACCCTCTGCGCCACTCTCCTAAAGTGCTTGAAGGAAACTGATCAGACCAGACACGACATTTTCCACTTGTCTTTTTGGAGCAATCAACTCCAGGTCCCTTAGAGGGAACAAGTCAGGCCAGGAGCAAATGCATGTGTTTGCATAAGCATTAGTTGTTCAACGTGTGCCCTGGTTCTGTAGCAGAGGACAAGCCTAACTTATTCATTTACAGCTTTTTTTATTGCAGAAAAAGGAGTGGACGTGGGATGAGAGCAAGATGCTGGTGATGCAGGACCCTATCTACAGGTAAGAGCCTAGTCCCGTGCTCGGGAGGGTCCCTGAGCCCCAGGGTCCACACGACGTCTCCTGGAGCCATCTGTCAGGCTGGTGGGTCCAGACAAATTAAAATAAATTTCTACTGCTTTTCCCTTCTGAGACCTGTTGTTTTTGTAGATGTAAGTACAAGAAGCAAATCTCTTATTTTTAAGACTGAAAGGAAAATTCTTCTTATGCGCAGTTGCACTAGGGGAACTGTGAGGGATTTCTTCTTGGCGTTTAATCCAAATCTTTCGGTTGTAATTTGAGACCTTTTCATTTTGTGTTAGTTTTGTCTTAACTGAAATTTCGTAATTGCCTGTATATTGGTCAAAATGAGAGAGCTGGGTTTTTCCATCCCCCTCTTCTCACGATTTCCCACGGTTGTTGTCTGTTCCACCTTTCTGCCCCTTCAGAAACTTGAGTGTAGATAAGGGGTTTGTGATCATTTGGGAGAGCAGAAAGTCACAAATAGAATCCCTAGAAATTGTTTTCACAATGAGGCTGGCATGATTCTTACAGAGATTAGATGACCTCCATCCGTGTGCCAGAGGAATGCCCCATAGCTTGGGCCATACAGAAAGCCAGGGCCCTCCTGGGACCCACCGCTGGACCTTGATTCATCCATGTCATTCTTCTGTCCTGGATCTGTTTTCTTCACTGGGAGAATAGGTATTACCTATGCTTTTGGGATTTGCGGAACTCAGATTTAAATTTTGATGTTGTCTCCTCTCAACGTTACTTGCCTTGGGTGACAAAATGGATAGTGGCTGGAGCTCAACTGAGAAGCTGGCAGCATGGTGACCCTGCTTTCTAGTCAAAGAGGAATGCCTGTGAAATGGAATTTCCATTCATTCAAACAAATATACGTATGTAAAATACTCAGGCCCAGTACTGTGCTAGGTGATTTAGTAGATGACTAAAATGAGTTGAGGAAGTTTTAGTATAGTAGGGAAATGGAGTCCTAAAAAAATCACTGTGGTGCAAGGCAGTATGTCTGACAAAATGAATTTCTTCCTCTGTGTTCCTGTTGTACTTTTTAATGTTGGTTGAAATAGTTGTTAGAGCGTGTTATTGTTACTTTAAAAAGTCAGTCTTTTGCCACTAGACAATGAGGCTCTTGAGGGGACGAACTATCCCAACTTGTATTTCTAGCACCAAGCCTGTGTCTGGCCTATATGGGGCATTTAATAAATGTGTGATGGGTGGTTGGATAAATGTATTGAATTAATATCTGAAAATTAACCTAAGTGTGGTGGTGACTCACAGAAGGGAATAATCACTTTCCACTTGAGTGATAAGGAAAGGCTTCAAGAAACAGATTGCACCAGAACTGAGCTTGAAGGATGTGAATGGACCAACCCTTACCATTTACGTTTAATAAAAGGAATAATTTCTTGTTTTTTTTGTTTTTGTTTTTACGATGGCACCATATACATACGAAAGCAACCTCTTGTCTGGTCATGAACCTGAATCTTGTCTTTTCCTCGTCGAAAGAAAAGACTTTCTCCAAAGTTTTAACATATCCCAAACAAGCTGTTGATTTTATTTTTATAATGGCTTTGTTGAGGTATAATTGACATACAAAAGTAGAGTATATTTGAAGTGAATAATTTGGTAAGTTTTGACATATGTATACACTTCTAAAACCATCACTTCAATCAAGATGATGAGCAAGTGTCACCCCCGAAAGTCTCCTTGTGCCCTGCTGTAATATTCCGCCCCCAATCCCTCCCTGTTCCATCTCCCTCCCTCCTGCCCCCCGCATCCCCAGGCAACTGCTGATCTCCCTTCTGTTATTATAGATGAGTTTGTGTTTTCTTGAATTTTGTATAAATAGAATCATACAGTATACTCTTTTTTTTTTTGGCCTGGCTTCTTTCATTCAGCATAATTATGCTAAGGTTCATTCCTTGGCATCGTGTGTATCAGTAGTTTATCCCTTTTTGTTACTGAATAGTATTCCATTGTATGAGTATAACACAATTTACCTAGCCATTCCCATGTTGCTGGACATTTTGGTGGTTTCCAGTTTTTGGCTGTTACAATGAAAGCTTCTATGACTGTGATTTACAAGTCGTTGTATGGACGTGAGCTTTCATTTTTCTTTGGTAAATATCCAGGAGTAGAATGACTAATTATATGGTAGGTGTATGTTTAACTTTTTACGAAACTGCCAGACTGTTTTCCAAAGTGGTTGTACCACTGGTGGTGTTTGAGAGTTCCAATTCCTTTACATCTTTGCCAACATGTGGTATCATCAATCTTTTTAATTTTAGCCCTTCAAGCAAGTGTGTAGCCAGCCCTGGTGGTCTAGTGGTTAAGATTCAGTGCTCTTACTGCCAGGGCCTGGGTTCATTTCCCAGTCAGGGAACCCCACCAACTGTCTGTTGGTTGTCGTACTGTGGTGGCTGCATGTTGCTGTGATGCATGAAAGCTATGCCACCAGTATTTCAAATACCAGCAGGGTCACCCATGGTGGACAGGTTTCAGCAGAGCTTCCAGACTAAAGCAGAATAGAAAGAAGGACCAGGCCACCCACTTCTGAAGAAATTGGCCAGGAAAACCCTGTGAACAGCAGTGGAGCACTGTCTGATACAGCACCAAAAGGTGAGAGGATGGCGCACAAGGACCCAGCAGGGTTCCGCTCTGCTGTACACGGGGTCAGTAGGAGTCAGAATCAACTCAATGGCACTAACAACAAAATACATGTATATTAGTATCTCATTGTGGTTTTAATTTGCATTTTCCTAATGACTAATGATATTGAGCATCTTTTCATCTTATATGCCGTTTGTATATCTTTTGTGAAGTTTCTGTTCAAATCTTTAGCCCATTTTTAATTAGGGTGTTTTATTTTCCTCTTGAATTTTGAGAGTTCTTTATACATTTTGGGTACATGTCCTTTATCAGATATATGATTTACAAATATTTCCTCCAAGTCTGGCTTGTCTTTTCTCTTAATAGTGTCTTTTGAAGAACAGAAGTTTTAAATTTCGATGAAGTCCAAATTATTAATTTTTTATTTTATGGATTGTGCTTTTGGTATTGTGTCTAAGAAATCTTTGCCCAACTCAAGATCACAAAGATTTTCTTCTGTGCTCTCTTCTGGAAGTGTCATAGTTTTAGGCTTTACGTGTAGGTGTATGATCTATTTTGATTCAATTTTTTTATATGGTAAGAGGGATAGCTAAAAATTCTTTTTTTTTTTTGCACATGAATGTTGAAAAGACTATTCTCTCTCCACTGAAGTACCTTTGTCAAAAATAAGTTATCCATATCTATTTCTATTTCAGGACTCTTTATTCTTTCCCGTTCATCTAGTTGTCTATCTTGACACCAGTACCCCATTGTCTTGATTACTGTAGCTTAATAATAATTCTTGAAATCAGGTAGTCTTAGTCTTCCAACTTTGTTCTTTTTTCAGAGATTTCTTTCAATTAGTATTATATGTTATATCTTTTTTCATTCATTCACTTTTAAGAAGAGAGATGGTTTTTTGGGGGGAGGGGACATCAAAGAAATTTTAAATTTTAAAGTGAGTTTTTCTTTGGCCAGCTCCTCCCTCCCTCCCCCCAAATACCCCACAAAGCAGACTTTCTGGGTGTAGTTGCAGATATCTTCCTAATCTCGCAAAACTCAGCAACCTGTGTTTTTGAACAAAGGGATGAAGTTTAGCCAGTGCTGCTCTGGGCTCCCTGATACTTTTCTCATGGATTAAATGTGGTCTGTGTATGTGTGAATTTGTTTATCTGCATGCTATGGGTAGATGAAAGAGGACTTTGTCTAAACTGTGTATGTCCCATTCTATCATCAATAAGAACATTTATCATCATGATATTATGGTAACATTTACAAGTGGGTACAATTATTTTTCTGCCCTTAAGGAGCCGCACAGTGTGATTCGGTAGCACTGCTGAAGAATCCCTGATTGCTTATGGCTTTTATGAAACACTGGATTACTGTAGCCGTCACTTTAGGGAAACTCCTTTATGGTAAAATACATTCTTCTTATTCAAAAGAGGTGCCATTACCACATTGGCAATGAGGATTTTGGTTTTTATTAAGTCAAATTTTAAATTTAAATCTTTTGCATCTCTCACATAGAATAACAGTCATGTTTTTTTTTTCACCGTGGTGAAATATACATAACATAAAATTTGCCATTTTAACTGTTTTTAAGTGTACAAGTCAGTGGCGTTAATTACATTCACAATGTTTTGCAACCATCACCACTGTCTATTTCCAAAACTTTGACATCACTCTAGACAGGTAACTCTGTACCCATTAAGCAAGGACTCCTTATTCCTGCTCCCTGAGCCTCCAGTAACCTCTAAAATCTCTAAAATTTTAAGAGACTAAAAGCACTGTGGTGGACATCTAATCCAGTTTTCTCTCCATTACAGGATGCCTCTATTTCTCTGAAATGATTTGCTATTACAGTGTTCTTCATTAAGTGAAGGCAAATTTCTTTACGTAATTTTTGTGCATTTATCCTAGCTGTCTTCTCTGGAGCCACAAATATATAAATCTTATTTCTCTAAAGTTCCTGAAGCCAGTCTTCATTATATTTTTTTCCTAGACTCCCTGATTTCAGAACACAGTATTTCCTCTTAAAATTTGTTAGAATTTAATATGATATCCCAGATGCTGTCTTATCAGTGTAAAAATATAGAAACACAGTTTTACCCTCATGCTAGGGAGTTTTGCATTCATTTTTTAAGAATTAGAGCACACGCTATTTTGCTGTTTTGTTTAACAAACTGTGTTAGGTCCTAGGTCATGGTGGATTTACTGTCCAGAATCTTTAAGATATTCACAGTAATTCTTTTTAATATAGACTTTTTTATTCTTTATGTCTGCAGTTTTCTGTTTTATTTTTTAGCCTAAATACGGGATTTTACGTATATCAATTTTCAATGTTAAATTAGATATAATTCATTTGAGCCCATTATTTAGAGTTTTTGAATTCTTGGAAATCAGGGTTCAGA